GAATCAGAAGTTGAAGCTTGAATTGAAGCTATAACCCATATGGGAATCCATATCTCTTTCTTGCTTCTTATTCCCTTCCTCTTAATATTATTGTTCCTGGGCTTACAAGGCCAAAGAATGATAAAGCTAAGATTCAAATCCCAGGGCCATGGAAAGCTTCCTGTTTTGGGAAACCTTCATCAGTTATTAGCAGCAGCAAGGTCGTCGCCTCCACACCATACCCTTCGAGAGCTATCTCTCAAGTACGGACCTCTCATGCACCTTCAAATTGGTGAGCTTTCTACAGTTGTTGTCTCATCCCCAGATATGGCCAAGCAGATCATGAAGACCCATGATCTTGCCTTTGTTCAGAGGCCTCAGATTTCCAGTGCCAAGATTTTTGCTTATGGATCAACTGACATAGCTTTTGCTCTTATGGTGATTATTGGAGACAGATGAAAAAAGCATGTATTTTAGAACTCTTAAGGCCAAGAAGGTCCAGTCATTTCCTATGTCCGACAAGATGAGGTACTGATCTTTTAATAAGATTACAATTTCTTTTTCGATACTCTAGCAGGATAATTAGATCGATAGTTATTATATTTCAGCATTAGTTTGAACCCTTTAAGCTTGTTATTGCATCAGGTGTCTAAGTTGATAGGGTCAGTTCGATCATCAGTAGGTTCGGTTGTTGATCTCACGGACAAGATTTACTCTTTGACAAGTGCTATAGTTACAAAGGTTGCTTTTGGCAACGAACAAGAAGAGCTTCTGCAACCACTCCATGCAGCAATAGAAGCGGGTGCGTATCATTTTCTTGATTTCTTCCCTTCACTGAAACATGTTCCTCTCATAACTGCGATGGAAGAAGCAAAGTTGGTGAAGATTCATAAGAAGATAGACAAGATTTTAGAGGATATTCTCAAGGAGAATCAGAAGAAGCAGATCAGAGCAGCAGGAGGAGGAGGCTGTGAGATTACTGGTTCTGGGGAAGAAAATCTTGTTCAGGTTCTCTTGCGAATCCAGCAAAGTGGAAGCCTTGATATCACAATCACAAATGACAACATCAAAGCTGTTATTTGGGTCAGTGCTCCTTATCTACTATGTTGATCTACCATAAAAGTTGATCCTTTTTTTTTAAAGAAATATGTGTGTCAGTGTATTTTGAGTCACACAAGGTAGCCAGTTCGCAGCTACATGGGTTTGATGATGCTTATGATCAATTTGTTTGGCATAATTACTGTAGGATATGTTCGTGTGCTGGAACGGATACTTCATCAACAACAACAGAGTGGGCTATGTTAGAAATGATGAGAAATCCTAAAGTGATGAAGAAGGCACAAACTGAGATAAGAAAAGCTTTAAAGGGAAAGAAAGTCATTCATGAAAGTGACATGGAACAGGTTAGTTACTTAAAATCAGTAATCAAAGAAACTCTGAGACTGCACCCTCCTGCTCCTTTGTTGGTGCCAAGGGAATGCAGAGAAAATTGCAAGATTAATGGCTTTGACATACCCATTAAAACTCAAGTTGTAGTAAATGTTTGGGCAATTGGAAGAGATCCAAGCCATTGGTATGATGCTGAGAGTTTTATACCAGAGAGGTTCCAAGGCGATTGTAATATTGATTTCAGAGGAACAAATTTTGAGTACATCCCTTTTGGAGCTGGAAGAAGAATGTGTCCAGGGATTTCATTTGGTTTAGCAAGCATTGAGCTTCCTCTGGCTAGTTTGCTGTACCACTTTGATTGGGAACTGCCATATGGAATGAAACCGGAGGATTTAGACTTGACTGAAATCATGGGCATTACCGCAAGAAGGAAGGCCAAGCTCTGCTTGATTCCAAAACTGTACAATATTGATCCTCTTTGTGACAGTTCTTGATGAAGTATTGTGCTCTGTGTGCGTAGGAAATGTGGAAATAATGTTATGTTGGACAATAACATAAAAAGCCTTTAATTTCTTTGCTAAGCAGAGTTCATGATAGATCAGCCTTTGTCCTTGAATGGGCCTGGGCGGTTTATTTCATGCCGTATCATTGGATTCCCTATAATGTATCCCCATGTATATCTAAGAGGCTTGTTTGAGCTCGCTTGCTTGAATTTTGATTACATTATGGAAGGTGAGTTATATATATACTCTTTCTAGTCCTTAATATAAGATCTAATTAGAAGTTGAATTTTATCTTGAATATAAGATATTAGTCCATTTTGTCTTCTAAATTTATAATTTATTTTTTAAAGTATCCCAATTGAGTATTTATATTAAGGGAGTTTCCATTCAAGAATAAATGATGATTAAAAATAATCTTTTAGGAAAATCAACTTGTTACACGTAACTAACTAAATTAATTTCATTAATGTATCCAAATTAGTTAACAACCCTTAATGGGTATTATTTTACTTTTCAAAACCACACTAGGAAAAAAGTTATGAAGTACAGATTTTGGGAGTAATGGTCTGGTAAAGCAGCCCAATATATAGAACCAATCCCTCGCAGGTGTGATATCGAAAGGGGAATTACAATTTTTTGCAGAAGCTACATTTTGTTATCCTTGAAGCAAATACAAGCCAAAATCAAAGTCGCCATAATGGTTTGGTTCACTCTGAAACATTGCTAATGGACCATAATCGTCGATTCTATATTCTATAGGATCAGTAGTCACTCCGGAAAGAATAGAACAAAATATAATGGCATATAAGAAAGTGTGCAACCACGTAAATTCTGCATCTCATTTCCGCATGCACGCCCAATTTTCTTTCCTGCTTTATATCTCCTTCTTCCTCTGGCTTCCCAAGCCAAAACGTAAAGCTAGGATTCAAATCCCCAGGGGTTGGCTCAAAGTATATATGTATCTGAAAATCGCTTTTGTCTCGACCATGAATCTGATAACATATGACGCAATCCTAGCAATGAGCCTGGTTAGTCCTCAAGTGTATGCATTCACAAGAGCACAAGCACAAGGAGGCGCGTACAAAATCCAAGTTTCATTGTCCGGGTTTGAATTCTGTATTTTGATTTTGTTTATTGTGATGACTTGAATCAATTTACTTTTATTTATCAACTAATTTAACTGTTTGGCTAGTTTCTAAAACAAAATCTATCCCGCCAAACTTATCTCATCATTGTCATCCTTTTAGGCGAAGCTTTTTTTTTTTTTTGTTATCTAAAAAAACAATTACTAATGGTTTAAGATTGCAATTAAATAAACCTACCACTTCTTACTTATAGGACAATGTTCGTTACTATTGGGCTATTAGACCATTGTTTAAATAAACCAAAGCTGGTGAAGATGCGCGATAATATAGGCAAAATTTTAGATGATATTATCAAGGAGAACCGGCAGAAGCAGATGAGAGCAGAAGGAGGCAAGAGTGCTTCGGAGGAAGAAAATCTTGTTCAGGTTCTTCTACGAATCCAGCGAAGTGAAAACCTTGACGTCCCAATCACAGCCGACAACATCAAAGCTGTTATTTGGGTTAGTACTCCTTACTTATATGTTGCTCTGCCGTTACATATCTAGGAAGAAATCAAATGCTTGTGTCTGCGCGAGACCGAAAGCAAGTCAATAATACCCAAGGCAGTTAGATCTAGAAAACGACAAAGCACCCAATTTAATTTTGAATCTAATGTATCTTCAGGTTTGATAATGTTAATGATCACTTTGTGTCGTCATTGCAGGATATATTCATTGGTGGAACCGATACTTCGGCAACAGTGCTGGAATGGGCCATGTCAGAAATGATGAAAAATCCTAAAGTGATGGAAAAGGCGCAAGCTGAGGTTAGAAACGTTTTCAAAGGGAAGAAAGTAATTCGTGATAGTGATATGATTCAACTTAGTTACTTAAAACTAGTGATCAAAGAAACTTTGAGGCTGTACCCGCCTGTTCCTTTGTTGGTTCCAAGAGAATGTAGAGAAACCAGCAAGATTAGTGGCTATGAAATACCCATCAAAACTCAAATTATAATAAATGCATGGGCACTTGGAAGAGATCCAAATTACTGGTACGATGCAGAGAGGTTTATACCAGAGAGGTTCCAAGGCAATGATTCTGATATTGATTTCAAAGGAACGAACTTTGAGTACATCCCTTTCGGAGCAGGAAGAAGAATGTGTCCGGGCATTTCATTTGGCTTAGCAAGCGTTGAGCTTCCTCTGGCTTGCTTACTCTACCACTTCGATTGGAAACTCCCACATGGGATGGAACCTGAGGATTTAGATATGACTGCGGCTGCTGCAATCACAAACAAAAGGAAGAACAATTTGTGTTTGATTGCCACACCATACAATACTGATTCTGTTATTGGCAGCTCCTAGTGAAAGCACGTACCCACCCACAATAGTAGTCTCTTGATCTCCTTGTTCTTTACTATCATGCGATGTGGGTATGGATTATATTTTGGATTTGGAACAATAACTTGTCCCCTTCAAAGATAGGTCAACAAAACGGAATCTTTACATATGTGTAAGAATGTTCGAAAATGCGTATGGTGAATCCTGAGGTTTTATTTAGTACTATGAACTGTTGTACTTAAATGGATCGAAGTTACCTGCCCTGTATCTCGGTCGATTATGTAAACTTGAAATCTGATACATGCTTCTTTTACTTTTGTTATCTAACGAGTTGATTGTGGTGTAATTTTGAGTGTTAAATAGTAGAAGGATTAATTGTAAATTTGACTACGTGAGTATAATAAACAATAGATGACTATTTTAAGAGGCGAAAGCGAAGCACAGGCTGCCACCACCAAGCCGTGATGTGGTTTTGACCACAGCTTATTGGACCATGATGAAGGCGATAGTGCTGCTAGCCAAAAGAAAGGGAGGCATGATAATTACTTCCCCTAAAGTTATCTATAATTAAGAAACAATTGAGTGCATCATATAAATCAAGTAACATAATTAGAAGTATGAGATTTAATTTCTTTTTTCAAAATACCCTCCACAGAGATTTATCCTTTATTGCTAACTTTTTATAATGTACAATCTTTTCTTTTCTTTTTTTCAAATTTGCTTATATAACTATCTAATTTTAATATGAATGATCTAGATTTGATGCTCATCCCTTCAAACTAAATCCAATGTTTTTCATCACGCAACAATTGTCCACCAATAACCCTTAAGCGCTAGAGCTCTCCTTCCATATGGGAAATAAGGATGGAGAACTTGGACACAAATTTTTCTTTTTACTTCCTAATTTCACACGCACAGATAGGGATTTGGCCGACCCACATAAAATTGAGCTTATTTATTTCTTGAAAAAATATGTATGGTATTATAATACTACCTCCGATCCTTAATATAAGACCCCATTTGACTTTTATATTGGTATTAAATATAAGATCCCAATCTATTTTATCTCTCATATTTACTCAATTTTTTTTCAAGATAGTCTTTCTAACAATTATAGTTTTAAACCAACATACTTGATTAGTAAGGATATTTTAAGAAAGACAATATTTATTTATTACAAATAACTAACTTAACTTTTTTTTTAATTTTCTCAAATTAGTCGACTGGCTCTTATAATTAGGAACGGAAGTAGTATTATTCTTGATATATACAATAAATTTTTAGTGTTTACATAAGTTTTTAACTCGAACCCATTCGTCCTAGATCAGCACATGTTAGCTTCAAGCAGAACCATGATCAGACAAGACATTGCGGTGGGCTTGTGACTTGGGCATCATCTCATAAGTGGGCTGCCTCCTCTCATCCAGATCAGGCCACAACTTCTTCACAATCTCATTTTGCTTCTGTTTGGGATACCGCCCTCTAACCGATAAGATTGCGTCGTTACTGCTACACAACGTAAATAAAAATAAAAAAAATTCAATTTCTCATTAGAAGAGGTACCCGTAAAGTGTCTGACAGTATCTCGAATATGATTAGTTTTAATATAAAGATATCTATTCGGAAAAAAAAATATCACCCTCTCCACTTATGCGCGATCCGTCAATTGCCATTTCCTTATGGGTGAGGCGTCTTGGCAGTCCATATCTCGGGATGTTTCAACCTTTGGTGATATTTACCTCGTAACCGTGAGGTTTTGGCTTGTTCTCATAAATTTATTGAAATAATCTATACATTTTTAATCTTGTTTTATATTTTAATTTAAATCTACTAAAACCGAAAATGTATATTCTTATCAGTACCTTCATTTTTCTTTTCTATTATTAGCATAATTATTGACTTTGATTTTGACATAATGCTTTGAAGACCCTCACCATTTTTCCTTTGATGAGCACCCTCACCATTTTTTTGGGGTGCAACTTGGACCCTCTTTATTGTCATATTTTTCACTTCTCATTCTATTTCTTCATGGCCATTTCATACTCTCTAAATATGAATTTATTCTAGACTATTTTGTGATTTATTTCAGTAGCTTAAAATATTTTGTAGTAAATCTAAATAATAACCCTAGATATACTTTCCACATGAATTTAAATGGAATTTTAGACCTTAGGAAGAGGAGTAAGAATATCATTAATAATTCAATCTTAAGTGAATTGATAAAAAATATAAAATATTTTTATTTGAACTATATTTTGTAAAAAAATAATTTTTATGAAAATATTAACAAAAATGTGAGTGGGCAAAAAAATAACAAGCACCAATCACAGTCGGTCGTCGCATTAATCATTGTCGGCATTTGCTTGTTTTTTTCTGTTATTGAATGGCAAATGACGACTGCTCTTGCTTTCCATCTAAAACCTGTCTCTTTCTTTTTTTAATCACATCGATCGGTTGCTTCTTTTGACGTCTGTTTCTGCACTAAAGAATCTAGGCACACTCGAAACCACAATTTTAAGGAGATAAGAAATCTGAACCTGTTTCATTAGTGGCCACATGTTTATCCGATATTATTCTCATATATATTCACTCACTGCTACACACAAACATACAGAAATATATACTCACACACTACAAAAAAATATGTTAATTCTAACGGTTAGAGTGTTACATTTCTAACGGTTTTAACCGCAACAAATAAAATTTGTAGCGGTTAAGGAAACCGCTAGAAAAACAGGTGCAAGAAAAAATTTCTAGCGGTTATCGCAACCGCTACACATCATGGTCAAAACGACAGAAAATTTCTAGCGGTTCCTAACCGCTAGAAAATATCTGAAGGAGACACATTCCTAGCGGTTACAAAACCGCTAGAAAATTTTTCCGGGAAAAAATTTCTAGCGGACCTGCTAAACGAAATCCATTTTGCCGGGAATTAAATAATTTCAGTAGCGCGCGAAAATTACTAGCGGTTATAGAACCGCTAGAAATGTTTGGGAAATTAAATTTTCCCGCCAATTGAATTTTAGGAATGGCGGGAAAAACTTTTCTAGCGGTTTTGAACCGCTAGAAATTTTGGCGCAAAATTTAAATTTGACGAAATATTTCTAGTGGTTCTGAACTGCTAGAAATGTTTACCGTGCCAGAAAAAAAAATTTATGGTTTTTCATATTATAATTTTAAAAACCATTAAATAAATTATTTTGAAGAATTTTTGTTAATTTGTATAATTAGTTATATGTTACATTTTATATATTCAAATTTTGTAATAAAAAATATGTAATTAAATTACGAATGTGTCAAAAGAAGTGAATTTAATTTAATAAGATAATTTAATTGAATATTTAATAAGATAGTTGAATTGAAGATGATATATTTTGGAATATTAAACCTATAGTATTAGGTTGATAAGTATTTGAATCAGTTGAGGAGGGCATGACAAATGTGGAGAAGAAAAATCTGAAAGGAAAGGAGAAATAAATATGTTAGTAAATTTTAAATAAAACAAATAAAAGATACAATGAATTATAAAATAAAATTCACTTACCATAGAGTAAAGAGAAAAAAACCACAATATGAGATAGTAAGAAAAAAGAGAGAATTATGAAGAAGAATAGGAGAGGAAGGAAAAGAGATGGAGTGAATGAATGTAGAGAAGATATGGTATTTATAGAGATCAGCGACACATTTGTAGCGGTGTTTTTGTAGCGTTTTATTACATTTTGTAGCTGTTATTCATTTTCTAGCGTATATGTAAGCGCTAGTAATTCGTAGCGGTTATATATGTAGCGGTTATTAACCGCTAAAAATTTAGTATTTTTTATTTTTAAAATCTGAACGAATTTTAATTTACAGATATGTATTTTGTAGCGGTTAATAACCGCTACAAATTACAATTTCGTGAAAATACATTGGTAGCGGTTAATAACCGCTACAAATTACAATTTCGTGGAAAAATTTGTAGCGGTTATTAACCGCTACAAATGAAAAATTTTTTATTTTTAAAAAAACTGTACGAATTTTAATTTATACATATGTATTTATGGACGAAAAATTTGTTAAATAATTTATTTTGGATGCTGCTACTCTCCATCATCATTCGGCCTGAAAGGACACATTTTAAAAAAATTTGTTAAATTTATGTTGTATTTGGAAAAAATTAGTAATTAGTAGTTAATTATTTAAATAATTTAAGAAAAGACGTGTACCTGATAAGTGGCAAATTATCATCTCCTTGAGGAAAGAAGTCTTCAAAATTCGAGGGTTGGAAGGGTTCACTGTCGTAAATAATGTCACCATCACCCATATCGTAAAGATCCCGTGGCTTGAGGTGAACGACCATATTCCAGTCTTTATGTTTCTCGTCCTCGACATAGTAAATTTGGTGTGCCTCAGAAGCAAGGATATATGGCTCATCATCTTCAGATGCCCCCGTATGAATAAGTCTAGAGAAATTGACTGAGGTGATGCCCAAATGGTCAGTAGCGAGTCCCCGTGAAGTTGTCGTATTTGCCCAGGAGCATTTGAACAGTGTCACGGTGAAAAGCTGGTAAGTCAACTCAATAATGTCAATTAGCTTTCCATAGTAAGTGACGCCTCCAAAGCGCATATCGCCATCACTACTGCTAGCATAACATCTCGTTCCGAATGTCCCGCAAACTCCAGAGTTTTGTGTGAGCAATCCCTGATCACGTCCAACCGTACAGAACTTGAAGCCGTTGACATTGTACGCGGTAAACCTTCGTGCATGGTCTAACGAACCGAGAGAAAGAGCTCTGAATTCATCTGTGTATGGGCTGTTGTCATTACGTATCCGACGTGTAAACCAACTGGGAAACTCTTTGTGGACTCTTTTATCAATGTCAGCAGAACGCGCACGGCCCCGTAGCTGACGCCTGAGATAACTCCTAAACTCACTATAGTAAAGTGTAATTTGTTTAGAAGAGTCAGTAAGAAACAAATATAAAGTGTAAAAGCTAGTGAGCTTATATGATATATATACTTACTGCATGAAGGGTTCAACTTGGCTGCAATTTATCAAAACATGTCTGTGTGCCTGGAGTTTCTCTGTAGGAGTGAGTCTGAAGAATTCATATCCTCCAACTGGTTTCCCAACAGGAGGAAATAAAGTTGACGTGGAAGGACCGGGAGGAGAATCATCTACGCGACGCGGGCGGTTTAAAAGATGTCTCCATGTCATCAAAGTACCTCGAACAAAAAGTTAGGACCTCATCTCCGGAATAACCTTCTGCTATTGACCCCTCAGGCCATGCCTTATTCCTAACATATGATTTTAATTTTCCCAAGTACCTGTAAGTTAAAATTGCATT